TTAGTTTGAAAAAGAACAATTAAAACATTTAAATTACTTTGTAAGCAATTAAAATAAATTTATTAATTTTCATTTTTTCTATTTACATTAAATTATTTTTTATATTTTAATAGATATCGATCTTATTTTTTAAATAAGGAAATTCGGGAGCAAGTTTATAATTTAATTAAAATATCTTCTATATATATAAAAAAATCGTAATTAAATTTTTTTAGTAATTAATCTTTATATATAGGCCTATATTTTTTAAATTTAAACGTTACACAAGATAAAAATATCTTCTTAATCAGAACTTCTGATCTTAATCATTAATTAAAACATAATTAAATTAATAATACTTATAAATTATTTAAATAATTTCTACTTTTAAATTAAAATTTCAACTTGAAATTGTATTTTTCTACAAAAAAGCTGAAAATTTTTTTTTTCATTTTTATACGCTTGGAATTGTTTATTGTATAAAGAAGAACATAAATAAAATGGTTATGTTTATTTATAAGTTGTATGTTATTAAAAATATACTCACCTCATTAATTATTTCAAGCATTTCTTTGAGATTAAAATCAAGAAAAGCTAGATATAATATTTAAAAAAAAAAGGAAAGCAACTGCAGAATATCAAAGAGTGTTCACGTGATGATCAGCTGCTTGGCAACAAGTGACAACGACACAACAAAATTTTCATTAAAATATCAAATTAGGTCGGTAAAAGTTAGGAAAAACCTATCAATAGTACGGTCACTAACCTGTTTATATCTGAAAGGAACAGAACAATCACATCTTGTTTCGCAAATGAACAGATTACAGAATCATTACTCCATTTCATCCATTGCTTGTAATCTTTCTCAATTTTTCTATTATCTATAATTTACAGTTTATTACATGTTTTTATTTGAAAAAAAGCAATAAAATTTATTTATTTTTATTTAATTTTTTGCTCCGAATCTGTAACATTATATCGTAACTTCCTGTGTTTTTTTTTAAATTAGAATTTTACCGTATGCTAATGAACAAAAGGGAAGATATCACAGCGGGTTACCTATTTATCAATCTCATAAATGTCTAAGTGAACAAACTAGTTCGTAATTCGGAAAAGGAACAGAATGAACTCGAATGTTGTAGTGTTGAATACATAATTATATATAAATCAAGGACGACGTGCACGTGATTTTTAACGTTTCCACGTGTTCAGGGTATCGTCAATTGGTGGTTGGTGCTGTAACGTTGACATATTTTTGTCTCCTGCTCTCTGACCTCTCGCTTTCTTTGATTATGAAAATATATAGTTTAAAAAAATCCAGTGCAGATTTCGAAAAGTTAATGAATATTTTAACTATTGGGTTAAGAATCGGTTAATTCGTTAAAGGTATAAACCTTAAATCGATTAACCGTATATTCGAGCTATGCAACAACACAGTTAATCACTATAATATAAAGGTTAACTCGAACTGTTTAAATGTCAAAAAGAAGTTCAATTCATCTTGACCCTTTAACTTCACATTTTTAATAATAATATAAAATCGAATATATTCACTTGGTCTTATTGTTTTACCTGACTCATCGTCTTAGACAAATTAGAATTTTCAGACTAAAAGGTTACATATTTAACCTTAACCTCTTCCAATACTTTCATGCATATCTTGGTTAATATATGTATAATATGGACCGTCACGCATCTCCTGTTTTATTTGCAATGTGTCCATTTGGCATTAACAGAAAACAATTCTTTAACACACGATAACTAAGTTTATGGAGTTTTTATAAAAGAAACTTTAAATATTACAGCTTCGTTCTTAATACTGAATTATCGATCGTAAACGTCTGCTCGGTTGCCATTTTTTTTTATAGAAGTTAAGCTTATTACTTTCTTTTTTTTTTGTGTATGTGTATCCGATCGACTCTAAACTGATTTTCGAAATTTCCTATCTTGCAAAACTACGAAATGAACTAATTTCGTCGTGGTTTAACGAAATATAATACTCGTTTCTTCATTAAAATATAAAAGGTCCTTGATGCATCGGTAACAGAAAATAGCCAGAGGTATTAAACTTCATCCTTGTCAGCTATTCCATATATGGGTCGCCATTTCCCATCTCATTTATTATTTTACCCCCCGGATTTACGAGTCTGGTAAGATTTTCATCAGTTACGTTTATAAAGTAAAATGCTAAATTCTCTTATCTACAGTAAAAATAAATACCGAACAAAGAAAAAAAATATTAACTTATAAATCAGAAGTAGGCCTACATTTTATTTTCTTTGAAGTTTTACGAAGAGCGTAACTTAGAAGCGTAGAGATAAATTTAGCATAATTTTTTGAAAAATTTGTATACCACGTATACAAATTACTTTTATGTATACGCTCGATTTGAAGGAGGAATGTTGTGTGACCCCAAAGAGCCTCATAAGTATTTCAATGGGTGTGTCTGGACTAAGTTCAGCCTTGGCAGTAGCTTTTCCCGTATTACAGCGAGTACATTGTCCTTTTTTTTCTTGTAATTACCTTTAAAATCTGTAGGTAAACGCGATTTATCATTAAAAGCTAATTACATTTTTAAAAAAAAGACATTTCGTCCGAATATTTTAAAAGAAATTTTAATCTGATAAAATGTAAATATTATTTTAATATTTTAAACAAATGATGCAACAATTCTACAACTGTCTGATCGTTACAGTTCAAAATATTTACATTTTCTTACGTATCAGTAAACAATTATTCTTCCAATAAGGCTAGAATAAATCGATAAATATTCTTAACAAGAGATGCAATAATAAACAAAATTAACTGACCACTTTCGAAATTACTTTTTGTACTAAGAGCAGATTAATTTTCCAATCCAGAAGATTAGATCATACATCCTGAGAGAGCAACAAAAGTGTCTTTATAAGAAACTTTGCTCGACAAACAACAGGGTGTGGTTTGTTAGATACTCTGTTAGACTCCTACCGAGTGGTATTCTGTCAAAAAATATTGTGTAAGAGGTACTGTTCATCTTCAGTTGATAGATTTATAAACTTATTTTACTTAAGATGGAGGCCTTTAGTATTTAAAAAAATATGCAGAAATGACCGCTTCGAATGCAATTCATTCAGCTTATTGTAGCTTTGATGAAGTAGGAACTACATACAACGTCAAAAAAAAAGTTGTTTCTGGAGATTACCTGTCTGGAAGCAAATTAGTTGCTAGATTTTACATCTCTACTGGACCATCGGTGTTGAGAAGGGCTCGGTGTATGGTTGCACCGTGTTTGGGGCCTACACAGTAAAAGGTTAAAGAGGTCACGTAAGAATAAAATTGCAAGCTATAGTTTGCTTTTGCGATAAGTTAGTAAAAAATATTATTTATCATAGTAAATTATCTTCGAGCAGTGTTAACAAAAGATAATTTCTAACGTATACGCCTATCGCGTAATCTTAAAAATTGAGGCTCCAACGGGTGCACGAATTTACGTATCCATATAAACATTAAAGTCTATCAAGATTAAATTGCGGTTCTTTATTACAGAATAAAGGAGAGAATGTGACAGATAAAAACATTTTCTTCTGGTAAATATTTATTAAATGTAATTAAATTACTCTGTACAAATTCAGCATGATCCAATCATAGACTTATGTACATACATAGCATTCACAGAATGTGATATATAGCTGCTAATAAATTGTACTTCAGGCTGTCCCAAAATAAGATAAAATAATTTAAATGTCCTGACAGAAAAAAAATACTGCATTTCATGAACTTATTTTGGGTCACGCTTAAAATTTTATCAACAGAATAATATATAAGGGTGGGGTGGATATACGAATTAGGACCACCGCCAAAGAGAACTTGTTGATTCAAACAGATGCCAAACACTTGCTTGAAAAGACAACAGAGTGCTTGAAGCAAAAATAGGCACACGTTTAGCGTTGGTAGCTATCAAAAGTCTGCTTCGTTTCCTTCCACAGGGAGGAATTTGATGACGCGAAACTTCCTCTTTTTCTTCTAAAAATCGGAAGTTCTCCAGGAAGTCCTTTCTATTGGTCATTTTGTAGAAATTTCACGCTACACCTCTACCGTTTCTTCTATGAAAATATATCTAATACCCGTTTCTAACATTTTGGACAACTTTGTTAATGTTATAAAATAGAAACGAGGTACGTGACGAGAAAAAATAAAATGTCAACGGAACATAAACGGAGCAAATCACAGTCCACTTGTTTGTTAGCAAAGGAACATTGAAGGACGGAACAATTTAGTAAACTCAAAATATTAGTTAATCGTTTATAAAATTCCTTTCACGATTCGAACGTTGGCACTACCATTTAAATGCAATCTTCATCCTTAGGCATAAAAATTGAAGAGCATCTTTCTCCAGACTAGAATACTGTGAAAAAAAACTATTCACAAGAGAACACTCTATAAAAATTCGTTTACTAAATAGCTGATACAGTTTCCTTTTATCACAAAATATTTCTATCAATTCTAGATAACTTCAAGTTCCAGGACAACAATCAAGATTAATGTCAAAGTGCAGTAACTAATAATTTTAAACGTTGAAAATGTTTTTGAATTTGTAATGAAGTTTTGTTCGTAGACAAAATGTGTGATTAGTCCAACCCTTTTCCTATCAGTTCAATATTTTTTTGGATGAAACAAAAAACTGGGCGGACTAAAGCTCGATGAGAGGATGGGTTTTGCAAAGTTCGTGGAATAAAGTTTTTACTAAAACAGGAACTTTAAAAACATCACTTCTAGGAAATCTGTAAAAAATAAATAAAAAACGCTTAATATTCTGACATAATACAAAATGTACTAATTAAAATTAAGAGATGAAATTGCATTTTATCAGATAGGTTTATTAAGAAATCAAATTTGGGAGGGAAATAAGTACAGCGTAATGACTACACCCTGTTAAAATTATGTATTTATTGCATCTAATGTTATCTCTAATCTCGCTAAGACTCTCAACAAATATTTAAGCAACCATAAACCGAGTCTGGTTATCACCCTTAAGCACACATNATTAATTTTAATGTTAAAAGTTTAATAAAAATATAGAAATTCTTTATATTAATTCTATGTACTAACTTTTGGATGTGATCAACAGCAATTATAAAATATAATAAAATAATTGCATGCATAAATTATTTTATACGTGCAATTATTTTTCTGTTGCATTTAAAACGAAGCATTTCAACAATTCAAGGTTAAAATAATTTGTAATTGAGAATTTTGCAACTTCCACAAATTAAATAATGTAGCAGTTTATTGTATCGAATCAACATTTAATGTTTAAAACGTTAAGCATATTTTAATAGCTTATAACAATTCTTCCCATATTAAATATTAATTTTAAATCATTTAAATATAGCTTTTAAATTACATTTCGTTACCACAAATTTAATATAAGCTGGATTTTTCACATTACCTAGACAAGCAGCAGCAGCTTAAGGCCTCATACTTTTACATGTATCATTATTTGGTGGAGGGTAGGGCCTGTTATATATTATAGATTAGGGCCCCAAGTCTAATTCCAGCCTTTCATGTGTGAAGTATTGTAATTTAAATAGACTCATTTAAGAGATTCGAATCACCATAACATCGTCGATACTATTAATATAAACAGAATTTAAAATTTAAAAAAAAAAGCCAAATATTAGGCATATTGTCTGCGTTATTTATATTTTTGAAAAGACAACGGAACACGTGTAGGGTTCCGAATTGGCATTTTGCCAAAGGAGTACAAGTAAAACACGTGCTACTTTCTCCCTACAGCAGACAACGATGCGGAGACGTTAGCCAGGAGGGAAGAGATTACATTTGTCTATAGTACAATGTGGTTCGTATTTCTTATGAGTTGAACAAATTCGGACAGCTGCTTCGTGTGAACTGTCAAACAGACAGGATATCTTTATTTAAACAACTCAAAAATTCTTCTAGAGGAGACGAGATTAAAGAGAAACTATTTTTATCCGCGATGAAGATGAATTATTCCTTAAAATTACGAAGAAGAAAAAATAAAATAAAATATAAAATGGTAGGTTTCAGCCGAGGCTCAGTTTAAAAGGTGTATTTACCGTATATAATTATATGTTTTGATGTATTTATTTATTAAATAATTAGATAAAGCCGAATCGTTGGCCTGTTTGATGCTAGAATGAGGGCGAGCTATAAAAGAAATTTAAGAAGTGAGGAGCTACAGAAGTATAATTTCAGTCGACGTCTACTAGTCGCCAATGTCATAAGTAATTGTCCACTTGCCAATAAAAATGCAGCCATTGTTTCCTGTCTCCCTGTTAAAACGATCGATTTCTTCATTTTATTCGCTTAAGTCTATATAATCTCTTTAAGGGACAGCATTCATTAAATGCTGTTTCTTAATGCTTCACAATGAATTTTTTATATATTTTCTCAGCGTAAAAGCACGTTACTGTATTTTAACTGTAAACACGCATTTACTATTAATACACAATCTCTGGAATTATTTTATTATGTAACATAAATATGACTTTAGAGTGAGATGTTGAGATGTTTTTTTAATGAATTAAACTATTTTATACTTAGAAATGCTAAAAGTAGAGTGGATTAACCTATAGTCGATGGGTTATTGAACTGTTGAAGGACGGGGGAAGGCCTAATGTCAATCAAACGCCACCGAAACCAACTGTGATCACTAATATAACATCACGGAAATTAAAAATAGGTGCCACAGTTTAAGTCCATATAAGCATTCGAAGGAAGAAAAAAAAACAGGTTATAAAAAAAACTACAGAAAAAAAGTAGATCTTGTTTCTTAAATCGTGGATGTTGATGAACTTGAGCAAAATTAAAATCATATTTTCATGAAACAATTCGTTTAACTGTAAAATTATAATAAAAATGGATAATTGTTTTTGCATAAATAGGTTAAAAATGTAAACTTATTTATTTATTTAACCATAATTTAATTAGATTTATCACGGATATATTTACTTGTTTGTTGTAAGTCGTGTCCAGACTGAAGGATGTTGATCTAGTTCATCGTTCGGAAAACTTGATCTTTTCGACCCTTGATTTACCACATGTTCTTCAATTATAGGGTAAAGTGGACATTCTACATTACTATTGAACTTTTTCCCTTAATATCCGTATTGATTTTCACCACGAACAATGGGTTAAATAATTAATTTCAGATATTTTTAAGAGAATATAAAATTAAAGTATAGAAATTTTAATAAAAAAAATCATATAATCAATTAACTATAATAATTGTCAATATAATGGTAATTTAACATTTTATTTCAAAGTTCAAAATCTACCAAATGCGGAATTTTATAAATAGTAATAGTAATCGATATCTTATAAGTAGGTCTAGGTTTCCATTTTAGTTATTTGACAAATGACTTTTCAAGGGCCTTTTCTGAGTCTTGTCACTGTTCAAACTAAGGAGATTTATGACTATTTTCCTTGTAGGAGGCCCTCCGAGGAGAATAAAGAAAACACAATATGCATTATTCCGATTTAAAGAAGAGAAAAATGAAATTTTCGACTCTTTTGTATAAAAATCTTAAGAGAAAATATTCATTTATAACACAAAGAACGGCTATAAATAATTAATTTAATGTATATATATATGTTTTTTTCTTTCATTTTATTTATAATTTTTATATACACCTATTGAATTTTACACCATATTTTCTGATCGAATTTCTGTCATGATAGATGTATATATTAGACTTTAGAATAAAGAAACGACAGCTTATGAAGTTTACACTTTGATAAAACTTAATATATGGACCAAGTGTTGATAAACTTTTGTATAGTCTATCTTCTTGTAAATCATAAAGTGATAAAAACTACAAAATATCTCAGATAACAAAAACATTCTCAAATTTCCTTTGGCGGTAAATCCTTTGTAGTTTTTGTTTACTGATGCTAAAATAAAATACTCCGTGTTCATTTTTTTCTTGTAAAAACTATTTTTACGCTTTCTAACCAAAGCGAATATCAAATTAAATTTTTTAATTTTTAATATAAATAAATAGTCGATAACAATAAAGTTCTCATGGTAACAATTGTTATAGAAATTTACTCTGTAAATGTTTATAGAGTTATCAAATTATGTTATATAATATGTTAGTCATTGTTTAATTTTATAATCTTTTAAAAGGTAGCCATTTTCGGTAGATAAAAATAAAATAAAAATCCCATTCGACATAAAATTTAAAAATCAGTCCTTAAAAATTCTTATTAATTATTTCATTTATATCTATAAAAGAAATTTGAAAATTTTTATATTCTTTCCACATAAATTAACCTTAATTTTCTATTATTCTGCAAGGAGCCACATAAATTACACAACATAATGCAAGATGTGATTGCCGTTCTACTGCTCACACAAGTTCGGATGGGTGATCCAATTATTCCACATACCTTGCAAAATGTCAAAGATCACGGCTTTACATGCCTGCGTNTTATTTGCCGGATGATGTCTATTTTAAATGGATGAAAACATTAGTAAATATTTTTCTTTATTTATTAATTATGTAGTGATTTGGTTGTATATATTTATTCTATCCCAGTTTTGGAGAGTTACTAAATATATATATATAATTTAATTGTTTTTTCTTCAATTATTTAGAATCTCACATTATAATTAGTCTAATATAAAAATGTTCTAAAAATTTTAAGTTTAACAACAACTATTTAATGAATTGTAATGTATATTATTTGGATCAAAGAGCTTTGTATACTCCTAACCTTTCACCTCCTTCATATAAAGGCAGAAATATTAAAATGTAAATAGAATCTTTTTTGTTTCTAAAAAGTAAAAGTAGAAATACAATAATTTTTTATTTCATCTAACATTTATAAAATAGAATATCAATACTTTACTAATAATGTAACTTAATTAATATAATATTAATTAAAAACATTTATACAATAGTAAAACTATATTTATTATACCACATCCAGTAAAAATTATCATTAAGAAAAATATATACTTTCCTATAGTAATATATGCTCCTAACTATGATTATTATTGTATATGGCAAACAGAAAATTAATGACAAACAATGGTGAACTTGTTATAAGTAACTTCTATAAAGATAAGTGGATAACTGAGACAGTTATGGTGTCACCCTACCACTTTGGGAGACTCAGGGTCAAATGTAGGTGATAAAAACCCCCAGAAATTTTTTGGGGTGAGTAGTCTGTCAGGTCACATTCCTCACCACCTGGCTGTAATCATTGTGTCCTAGCCAAATCCAGAATGGTCATGATTACAAAGCATTCTTAATGCCCATAGATCAGACAAACAAAAAGAAAAAGAAAGCTATACATTCAGAAAAAGAAATCCAAATTATGAAAAACACATTTGTCCTGTGAAATATCCAATCCTGATCAAAATGCCTAAACAATAAATTATCATTGTTATGGTATGAAAAATTTATCTAATCTATTTGAATAAATANCACCCTGTTAAAATTATGTATTTATTGCATCTAATGTTATCTCTAATCTCGCTAAGACTCTCAACAAATATTTAAGCAACCATAAACCGAGTCTGGTTATCACCCTTAAGCACACATAGATATGAAATAACATTTTAAAAATTAAAAAAAAAAAAAAAAAAAACTCCAAGAATGATGAAGTTGCAGATTTAAATAACGAAACAATTCGATATAAAGAGAGTCATCGTGACTTTGCTTCTACCCTAACATTTTCTATAAATAATCAAAGCTATATCAAGCTAACATTATTTTACGGTCAGTTTATTAAGCTTATTAAATATACATAAATTTATAAGTATAATTAATTAGGATTCACGCCCCTAATCCAATTATCTTCCGACTAAATTTCGTTGTGTACGATTTTACAGGAAATATTGTTTCTCGAATTTAAATTTTATATAATATCTTAAATCCGATTCTTATAAACGCTATTGCGACATTGCGTGCGTTAGAACTGCGCACCAATGCCAAGGTCAATATATCGATTGTTTACCAGGTACGCGACTAAAATGGGTGAAGCAAACGTTACACTTACCATATTTACCTTCAAAAATAGGAACCATCCTGAATATGCTTCGATAAGGAAGACTAGCGTGGACTTTTGATGAATGAAGAGACAGTTGGAAACAAAAAATAAAATTTTTTCTTAGCCAACTACGACGATGGGGAGGAGATCCAGTTCGGGAGCATCCCAAATAAGAAATATAAAGATATACATCTAAAATACGCCTTCACCAGTAAGGTCCTTCCGTGATTAAATTATTCCAACTGGCGAATTCGGTCCAGTGGGTAAAGCTAGCTGTTAGGGCATCCACGAATTTCTGATTCTGAATGCTCTCCTTTGATTTATTCTTGCCCGTTACTAATCGATAATTGTCACCTCCGTTATTGTCCCAATATTCGTTGTTACCGCATTTGAATCGAACGCAGAATTCTATTTGTTGATGATTAACCGCTTCTGTTGATATGGGAAATGTGAATGCGAAAGTATCGTAAGGAGCCGATGCTCCTTCCTCTTCCAGCAGGTTATTCGGTACGAAGGAAGCTGGTACATCTGTATGAGATGACCAACGATCGAACGTCATCCTTACAATTACTTCTTTGTCGAATGCGATGTTCTTTACTTTAATGGTTCCCGTGATGATTCCATCTTCGTCTTTCACGATGACGTTCTCTAAGGACACACAATCCCGATCCAACTTGGTACGAAATGCCATATAATCGGAAGCCGGTTGGGAAAAAGAAGGCTCCCAGGTGTTATCTATATTTAAGGTGTCTTTGATGCCCTGTGTGACCTTTTCTAAGAAGTCATCCGACCATCGTGGAGGACAGTCGGAAGGTTCGGTCATTATTCGAACGTGGGTTAGGGCCATTCCCTTGTCGTCTGCGAACCATACTCTCTTCTTAGAGTTCTGGTTGGAATTCTCTATTTCCGTTTGTTCCTTGACGATCAAGCACGATCTGGGTGGAGCGATCTGGTGTTTTTGATGCGAGTAACAGTTGATTCCATTGAGTGTGTTGATTCCCAAATACTTTCCACGATTGTTTGAAGGAAACGTGGCATATCTAAAGTCCATGAAGGTATTGTGGTTGAACAACGGTGGACTCGCAGAAAGTATCATATCAAAATGAAGGGGCATATCCTGTCTTCCTCTCGTTTTTCAATGATCAAAACTGATTCCGATATTTATAAATTTTGATTGTTCGGGAAGCTGGAAAATAAGAATATATTTCATTAATAATTGTATGGCTGAAAGCACTTTATAAGTGATGTATTTTCAGAGTGAAAGGAAATTGACCGGGCGTTTTTGATGTGTTTTATTTATGTAAAGCGGAACAGTTCTATTTACCGACGTTAGACACAACTTAAAATATGAGGTACAACCATCGCAATTGATGTCGATAAGACATCCTGTCTAACACGTTCTGGAAGTTTGCCAGAGAAACACGTGATCCCCTAATCTGAGGCCCTTTACTGATAAACGGCGTCAATTGACAATTAACACACGTGTAAGCAGCACATTATTCAAGTATGCACCTATCGAGATTTCGAAATAATAAAGTATAGATTACGATCTTTATGTTTCGTAAGCTTAGATATTAATTTATCATTAATTTCAAAAAATTAAAAATAAACAGAATTCAGGCTTTCTGGCATTACTATACTGAACTGCGGTGCAAGTATTGTTGCAGGGGTCATACGGGATACGAGTCTCGTATAAAATTAAAACTCGAAAGGAGTAAAACGAGACACGAATCTGTGTCAGGCTAGAAATTTATTTATATTTGGCAGGTGGCAACACACATGTGATAGTAAGGAAGCAGACAGAAACGAATCGGCGATGAGGTTCATAAACGAGTCGTAACATTAATCGACCTTGATGGTGAGACTGGCAAGGACATAATGCAGACAGAAAGACGCTTACTGAGGTACAGTATTTGCATTAATATTTTTTCGGAATTTCCGTAACCAAAACCATACTTCAGCAAAGTCTCTAAAGCAAAACTGTGGCGAAACCTTTAAAAATTTTGTAATTAATCGATTTAAATAGGTCACAAAGTATCCTTGACCATCCCGAAATTAGATTAATTTAAGCCATAGAAATACATTAATCATCGAGGACTATCATTAGTAAAAACCAGAACCATCCGTAGGGCCAAACACGTCGAATAATGACGTAATTAGGGATGCGTTAATGGAAGTCAAACCAATGTCTGCATCCCAAGAATAGCTATAGGTTTAAATTTTGAAACGAGCCTACGCAACTTTCGAGTGTCGATATAAATAAATGCAACAAAATCAGATAGGAAATTATGAAAATAAGATGGCTTTACGAAACAATTATTAAGTGTGACGTTTGTAAATCACACATTGGATTCATGTCACTCTCACAGCGTGTCAAACTTTAAACTGTGTAAAATATTTAAATATTTCTTATAGAAATATACGAATTAAATTACAGTATTATTTTTAAAAAAATCCTACAATCAAAACAGCATTCGGCATATTACACACCTATAAATTTAGTATTAATTGTGTATAAACAGGAAACAATTGTAAAATTAAATAAAGATCCAATAGGCAATTTTATTGTACTCACCTAATTAAAACATTAAACTTTTAATTAAAATTGAAGAGACAATCTTGCAAGTATTAATAGCAAACATTGGACGGGTTCATACTTAATATAGTGCACAGTAGAAGACATATCACACATATGGCCGATTCTCTCTTACGTTAGCTCTAGTACATCTCTTGTTCACGTGCACGTGTACGAGTAGCCAATCAGCGTAGCCAGTACTGGTGTGATTGCTACCGAGGAAACGATGATGCCTCCAATCGCCACTTAGCTCTTATCGCTCTAGTCAGACGTTCATTCACATGTTATGGGCCACGAGGGTGACCTCATTTCGAAGAGTTGTCACCCCGACGTTTTTTGTACATAGCCCACTTCACGCTTCTAATCTTTTTTTACACTTTCGGGTCTCGTTTAGAACAAATATTAATAAGAGAACGTAAGAGATTTCGTCAGAAAGTAAAAAAGAAATCCACCATTTATATTGTCGATACGTGAATTTGCATAAATGTAACTCGTTTGCATGACGACCAATGTTTAGTATTTCGGAACAATTTCGTGAATGTCTCGCGACCTCTTTCCGGATGTGCACGACTTAAAAGGATAACACATTTAAGAGCTTCAGACAAAGTACTACTTTAGATAAGAGCATCTCATTGACATCATACAACAGAATACACACACTATCACTTTGCGCCACCTGTCGAACGTAATTGTAACTAATTCATAGAGAAATTTCCTCAAAATTTATTCAAATATTTAAAAATTTGTTTTTAATTTAATCGTATTTGAAATTTTAGAGTAAAATTTGAAAAAAAATGTTTACAGTAATTCTATTAAAAAATCGTGTCGAAAAGATAAGAACAAGTAGTTTACAAGAGAAGAAATTTGATGCGAATGTATAAATATGAGAATGAAGGATGGAAATCTGTTTTAAATAATTAATTACTGATCACGAGATGTTTTTTATTATTATTATAAAACTGTCAATTATTATTAACGATAAAATTTCTCGCCATTTCGTAATTGGCGTAACGTAGCTAGATATAGCAGAGTTTAAAATAGATTGGCTTGCATCATGTTGATATATCCTACTTACTCTTTTTTTTTCTCCTTTCTTTTTAATAATATTCGACTCATTTGTGATAAAAATATATTGGATGACTGCTTTCTGTATATATAGATCGATTCTTCTTCATCCAATTCCTACTTACAAGTAAAAATAAGCCAACCGTTATCGTTCCAGACATAAAACAGCTCGATTAATTTTAAAAGCAGCTTAGTGCAGTAGCTTAACTAGAACTCGATGTTATGGGGGTCCGAATTAGAACATGCAAAGATACATTTATCTCTGTACTACTGTGGATACAACCAATAACACAGTGGACAATATACGTGTATTTGCACATTCAAATATGAGTTTTTTTCTTAATTTATTTAACAAAAGTAAGGGGATTGGACCTCTGGCTTTTCCCTGCTTACGCTAGTGTCTTAGTGAAATAGCAAATCTTCCACTTGCATACAGATTTATTTTCCTCATAAATCAAAACAACTTTGAAATTAATTGAAAATTCATAATACTGTATAGTGCATATCATTGTATATTAAATAATGTAACCAATACATTCGACTTTTTTTTTCTTTTGAAGAAAAACGCATACAAAATAATCTCCAAACAACGGCCATTTTTATGTTCCCGTCAGTGGACGTTGTACAGAGGTTTAACTAAACTTTAAAAATTTTTCTGAAACTCTTCAAAAAAAGATAAGAAAAATCATCCATAAATTTATATTATATCTGAGTTTATAACTTAAAAATAAACTTAATTCGCCTTATGTTAGTGTACAAAACCTGTTTTACTTGTCGAATTATATTCAAGACAATCAAGAATTACAAGAATGAATAGAATCATTAAAGTGTGTCCAATTGTAAGGAATTCAAACAGAGTATTGTTTAGGAAGTATAAAAATTGATTTCATAGGAGCAAGTAAATAATAAAAAATTATATAAAAATGGAAGGCAAAATTAGATAAATGTGATTCTTAATAAACTTGTATGTTTTCTGTATTTCTTACTGGTGAATTTTTTTTACTCTTTCTGCTCTGCCAGCCCAAGAGGGACCTTTTTCCATACCCATCGTAAATTTAGCCAAGTCTACAACGGAGCGATCGGATGCTGAAGGCCAGGCCCGACATATCCAAAACGATAAAGACCTATAAAAAATTTCTGGGTAGTTGCTCAGCCAGATTCAACTCCAGGTCCTCAGAGCGATTGTTGACTGCTTAACCATCTCGGTCATTATTAATGTACTATCAATAGAATAATACAAATATGAATGTTAGTAGAAAATAAATTGATACAATATATCGTGTTGTTAATTAAGAAAATTCTTTCCTGATATACATTTGCTATTTGTGATCTATTTTATCGAGATGTTAGTGAAAAATTCCATAGTAAAAGCTCAATATAAAACTATAAACAAAAGAAATAACAAAACAGTACAATAAATAAACATTGTCCGTCATCTAATTCTAAGATATTGTTGAGAAAACAATCTTTAATAAGATACTTCGAAACAGATTCCAATTCAATCTTCACTCAGAATTCATTATGACTGGATGTAGACTTCTTCCCAACTCTCTATTTTCGCATGGCTATATAGCAGGGGTGGCCAACTTTTGTGTACATAAGATCTACTTTTTATCTTAAAAATGTGTCGCGATCGACTCGTTGTCGTAGGCATAGTCTAAGTCAGGGATGGGCATTCCGCGGCCCGAGTCGCATAAAATGTGTGTAAATATATCAATTTCCTAGCTTAAGAAGTATGCAGCAAAAATTCAAATGTTATTTTCTACAACTTATGTGTGTGAATAGTTTTTCCTGCAACTAATTTAGTAAAAATTAAAACGAGAAACCGGCTAACAGACTCACCTCGAAACTAATTTAAAACTAGCAGTGACTAATATTTAATCAAATATTTTCGATACATTACGTTTACATCAGTTCTAGAAGCTAAATTAAGTATACCTATTCTATTTTATAATTATATATGAATAAATAAT